GAGCAAGGAGATGACTAAGGCGGGCATCATCGAGGAACTGATTGACGAAACCGTTGCCTCCACCTCGCAAGATTCAGAGGACATGGAGGAGGAAATGCAGCAGGAGGTGGACAAGATTTTGCACGAGGTGCTCGCTGGTGAGATGGAACGCGTGCCACAGCCCATCACCGAAGAGCCTGTGTTGCCTCCAGCCGAGATGGAGGCGGCGGATGCAGGCAGCGAACCGGAAAAGGAATTAGAGGTCATGAAAGCCCGCTTGGAAGCTCTGCGAAGCTGACCTTGATGTATAGCCAACATTACATGCTTCTTTACCGTCTCATTTCTGCCGCCACTCGTTTTAGACGTGTCTGTATGTTGTAATACACATTTCTGCATATAACCGCAGTTTTATTCGCCATCTCTCGAATTCAGTTTAATATTTTATTTATTATTTTATTGAGTATTATTCTGTTTTACTTATATATTTTGTTAGCCAGTATTGCGTGATTCACTGATATCAGCCACTGATTCAGTCATCTACTGACGAAATTTATTAAAAATTGTCATCCGGGATGCGATTTAACAAATGTCCTCATCAGCAGCAAATCGTGGTGTCTGATGTGTCGAGCGGTAATCGCATGCTAAGCAGAAGGTCTCAAGTTCTATGTTAAAAGCATTGCGATATCATGAGCTCCAAATCAAACATTATAACACGTTAAGTTATAGGTACAGAGTTTTCACTCAGCGCACAACCGAAGACTGCAGTAGTGCAATAATGGCGTTATGACAATCTGTATTTCTAGATTTGCTGTCGATTTCTAAGGTCAAGGACTGCATTGTTTCATCGCTTCCTATACTTTATGCTGTTTTTAAGTGGTATTGTTGCTAAATTTCACTCTGGAATTAGAAATTCGAAAGAAACAAAACTTGAGTGGTATGGAATGCACTCAAAAAAAGAATAAAAAATTGAAGAAATATAATACAATCAGAATTACAGTGAAAAATGTGAAATCGCATAAGATTGTGAGATTTCTATTAAGAAAATCGATTATCGGTAAGATCATCGCTCGTACCTCACAAGATGGAGCTATGCCGATCAAAGAGAATGCGGACAAAACAACTGTGTGGGAGAAAAGAGACGAAGTAACAGACGGTAACTAAAAGACAATGCGAAAGAAACAATGAACTGATTGAACACCTGGTGAAATAGGCTCACTGTTGTCCGAAAAAGCATTAAAGGGACATTGCACAAAAACGGAAGACTAAGGAAATAATCCTGATAGAGGCGTGCAAATGTCTGAATAAAAACAACGGCGAGAAAGTAAGAAAGCTACAAAAGAGTTGGCAAGAAAGTTTAAGTTACACCTTACTCAGTCGTCTTGAAGTATACTACGTATCAAAAATTCGTGGATCACATTTGCACCTTAAAATCTTTCTACAGTATGCAGCAATGTTAGTCGTATTACAGACACTAACAATTCTTGCTAATGTTCACTGAAAGTTAATCCGTAACGTGCGTATTCTGTTTAAAACATATGCGGAGTAAACATTTTGAAAATTTCAGCGATAAGGTCATAGAATTAACCGAAATTATTGGGCTTTACTGTCAAAATTGCCCCAGCAACGGGATCACAATATTCTGAACTTTGGAACTATTCCCACTGGCGTCATGACCATTTATGCTACGGCCTCAGCTGTTAAGACACTTCTGAGTAAATCCAAAAATCCGTTAATTTATCGTGTAAACAACAATCCACTGTGTACCAACAATGGTGTCAAATCGTGGCATCGAGCGCTTCGGCAGATATTGGGCTGACAGTATCTGCAATTTATTAATCTAACCACTTTCACCAAGAATAAGATAATCATGAAATTTTGAACGAATCGTATGGTTAGAATTTATACCGTTTGAAGCATCAAAGTACATTAGGTTCAGCGGTCTGTCAACCATGTGTCATGATCTGCGTTACATGATTTTCCGCATGGAATTGCTTAAAACGTGGAATTTTTAAAATAATTGCATTAGAGGTTGAAATCTTAACATATGTTTTAATTTTAAATATGACTTAGAACTTTAGATTCTAAGCGCGTCGCTGAAATTGCAGATGGTCGGGCAATTCATGGTTAAGGGCACCAAAAAACGCAGATGATAACATGTTGCTGTCAGTGCATTTCGTTACGTACGCCGTAGCATCGTCAGGCACACCTGATATGGCAGGCAGCTAGCTGTCTTATATACACAAAAATGCATTAATTTAAAGTGAATGGGAGGTTAAACTCAGATTTTAGCTATTCTATTCATAACATTAAATTTTGAAGTTTACTTCAACTACTCATTACTTCGAAAATTTTATGCCTTCTTGCGTTGTGTATGAATATATCAGTTTTCGGTATGATTACCAATGCATACATATCAACGAACAGAATACTCAACAATCGAACCGCTAATTACTTCATTCTAAATTATCGTCATGAAGTTAATGATGGCACTTAGACTTTCATTTATCTCAACGGACGACTATTCATTGCCCATAAAATGTTTTACCGCCAAAGTATGCAGGGTTTTTTTATCAGAAGACCAAGCCTCGATTCTAAACCGTATTTATCGGTTAATGACGGATATGTAATTTCTAAAATATTTCAGCTATTCCAATGCATCCTACTTTCCTTGGAATAAAATCAAAACATCATCCATGAATCTGACATTAATTAATGACCTGAATTCAGCTGGGTATTCTTTATGGATCTTTATCTCTAGATAATCCAGAGAGATTGCCAAAGATAACACTCGCTGAGGAGAAAACAGAAACGTCATATTTTTGGTGATAGTCGGTTTGAAAATTTTGTTTGTGAATGCCATCACAAGGCAGAAGATTAACATAAGTACTTCAATGCGACAGTCTGTAAATACGCTTCCTGGCGTCTTCTATTCATTGAAGTATTGTTAAAAATGTCCGGGACGATATTCTGTAGCGTGTTGGTATCCACGTTATTGGAAAGAGCAATGATGTTTACAATGGTATGAAACATTCTTGAGCTTGATGTTTTTGCGGTCAGAGTCAAATATCAGGACAGTCCTTTATTGTATCAGTCAATTTGCCAGCGGCAGGCTTAATCAACAACTCAAATTGTTGTTGTTACCGTCACTCCTGTTATAGGCAGCTATGGTTGTTCCTGAATTATTTGTGATCAATATACCATGAGAAAATCACTTAAGCCTATTATCAGATTTACTGATCCTCTTGAAAATAATTTAGTACGGCGTTGTTTTCGAACCAGCAGTTGCACACTCTATCCGTACAGGAAACATCATTTATAGCTGCGTCCATCCTCTGCACAATAGCCCGGCAAAATGACTGTAGTGCGTACATCCAGTAGATCCGAATGTTTGTAATTTCATCACAGGCGGTATCGAAAAGACGTTATTCCAGGTTCTGCATCCACCCGCTGTGTCTGTAACTCAGTACGAGAATATTATTCATCATGTTCAGTCAAAGAGTAGTGTCACACGCTGGAACCGTAATACTGATATTCATGCAAATCGATATCACCGTCTGATTGTGTGATCAATCCGAATTTAATTTCAGTCCGTCATTCGGTTTCCAGAGCTATTTATCCTTTAAAAATGCGCATGCAGCAGCGTCAGACAGTGTCTGTAACGTTCACGGTCCTGCACCAGCGTCTGAGCTTCAGCAGAAAACAACCCGAGTCTGGAGCAGGCTTGAGGAAGCGCTTACCACGGGTCATTCTTGGCCGTCCTCGGGGTCTTCCGGACGTCGATCGAGCAGATAGCTGTTTTTCCTTCAATTTTTCGATATTGAATCGAAAAGGCGAGGCAACTAAGCAATTAAACCACCCATGGTTAAAAGTCATTCAAGTATGCGCAAGGCGCAGTCGTACTTTGTAGCTAACGCATTTCACGTTACTTGGCAAAATCTGTACGAATCAGAAAAAAATACGGCTAGAAATTTACTTATTACATTTAAAAAAAACAACTGTCTAACTGTCGCTAAAGTCGATGAATATATACACAAAGGAAATCGATATGACAAATAAGTCAGTAATTCAAAACTGGCACAATGTGGTCGGCTTTAATGCTAAAACCGCACAGCGAGCAGACACCGGATTCGGTGCGCTGCCTGAAGCAACATTCCGCACAAAACATGTGGCCGCAGCGCAAACAACAAGGGTCGTTGTTTTCGGACTGACACAAAAGGCAGGATAATTGCCCATCTACGTTCCTTCTCTTTTTTGTTGGTCCCGAGTCATCAACTCGCTTCCTCTTCAATTTCGCTTTAATCCAATTCAGTGCCAGTGCAATCAACTTGATAGACATGGCGAACAGTAACACGTAATCTTCTGGTCCCCACTTGGGGAATCGCTCCAGCGTCGATGACAGTTGCCACAACTTGTCAATACATGACACACCGTCCAGGAGACATGTTTCGGGAAACGTTTCTTTGTTGTTCTTCTGTAAGTTATCTGCCATGGTATACACATGATGAGAGAAGCGCCGGAAGATAGAGGAAAAAGCGAATTTCAGACTCTCATACGTTCGAACACAATAGTTTACAACGTTTCTGCGCCATTGCATGCCCAACCCACACGAGGAGGGAACAGGGGCACGAACCGCAAGCGGTCGCTCTACAGGAGGAACAACGCGAGAACGATAGCGCCCGTAAAGCTTGACCGCGCAGTAAAAAGTCGTTGCCCTCATGACTGTGCGTACCATACGTTTCAGCGGAGAGGGCGCCTGTTCGGTGGAGGCATCCGTCATCAGCACGTGTGCCAGTTCCTCGCCGAGGGTCTGGTTGCCGTTCACTACGTTCACCGCATAGTAGATTACCTGCACCAGCAGCTCCATCTCTCGAAACCAAGTGGCGTCCACCTTCACGCCGGTAAGACCTTCGGTGGCGCGACACGCCTTTTCCACCAGTAGCCTGATGAACTCAGCATCCCTCAAACTGCACTGCATCTGCTGCGCTGCTGACGGATGACAAAGGCTCACGCGGCCAACACCTTGTTCATACGTCACATAACTCATCGTCCAACCGCAGAAAAACACACTAAATATGCAGACTTTAAAACACGTACAGCAAAAAAGTGAATTACAATTTTCAGTACCTAAAATTACTTCGTGAGCAGGTTTTAAGACCAGAAATCTACCACGCTAGTGTATGTATCTCTTGTATCCTGAAGTACAGCTGTCTCTAACCTCTCGCAACAAAGGTAGTATTCTGTACTGTGATAATAAGGTCTTTTTGCTATAGTACATTCAGAGAAAGTTAAGCTGGTAAATCAACAACAATCCTTGTTAAAAT